CCGAGGGGCTGAGGAGCTCTTGGGGACTTTAGGGGACTTCGACTGGGGGCTGCCAGTAGAGAGAACCACTGGTGGTCACCAGGACCTGGGAGCAGAGGGGAGCTGTCTCGGGGGTCATGTTCGGCAAGGGAACTTCCTGTTGTGGTCAGGGGCACTCAGCCTTTGGTCTCCTCTCGCAGAGAGGTGCCTTTCTGGCCATCTGCCTGGCACATACAGGCCGTGTCCTGGGAGGTCTGTAGGACAGGGAGCAGGCATCTGGTTGGCCAGCAGCAGGTCCAGAGGGACCTTAGGACTCACAGTTTCGCACGGCTCCTGGGCAGGCCAGCACCAGCTGCACAGATCCGAGAGCCAGCCTCGGGCGCGTGCCCAGGCCAGGTCCCGCTGGAAGCCACCTCAGAGTCCTGCTCTGAGGGGAGCCGTGGGAAGTGAAAGGGAGGCTGTGATGGTCGCACAGACGGGTAGAGGAGCCACAGGGAGGGGCACAGAGCAGAGCCCAGGGGACCACGGTGCTCGCCGCCCCATTCGGAAGCGCCTGGTCTGCGGAGGAAGGCTGTGGGAGCCTGAGCCGGGTGGCAGGAGGCAAGGGGACACTCTGCTTACAGCCTGGTGGACTCTGGGCCATACAGGTGGACATCTAGTGTGTTGCTTCAGGGGGACACTGGCCATGTGGCTTCCAGGAAGACCTGGGCTCAAGTCTTAGTTGAAGCCACTGCTCAGTCCCTGGGCATGGTCCCCAGCAGCTCTATGGAGCACCTCTGCCAGGCCACCCTCTGGATTTACAGCTGGGACCCACTGCCCCGAGCTCCTCCTACCTTCCCTCCCGGGGCTGCTGGTGGGGTGACACTGAGCATGGAGCGTGCCTGCTGGCCCGGGGGCCTCCCTGAGCTCTCCAGCTCTGGTGGGTTCCCTCCTGCTGCCCCTCCCTGGGGCCAGCGCTCCAGAGCCGCCTCCTCCCGGAGTCCAGGGAAGGCCCCGCTGACAGTCCTGCCTGGGGCTGGCTTCTTCCACGGGAGAGAACATTCTCAGGCAGGCGCAGTGGCGCCCCCTGTAATCCCAGAGGCTCTTGAGGCAGAAGGATCCTAAGTTCGAGGCCAGCCTCTGCAACTTAGCAAGGCCCTGAGCAACTTAAACCCTGTCTCAAATGATAAGAAAAGGGCTGGGGATGTGGCTCAGTGCTAAAGCACCCTGAGTTCAGTCCCTGGAACCCAAGAAAGGGACACAGATCCCAGGCCTGAGCTGGCCTCCGCTGGGTGAGGTCGGCGAGGTGCCCTGCAGGGGCTCCTGCCTTCCTGCTCAGGGGGCTGGCTCTTCCCTGACGGTGCTCCTGGAAGACCTGCCCCCCCACGTGCCTGACCTCCTGCTGTGGAAGGCTCGGGGGCAGGCTGCCCATCTCTGCTGCTGTCCACCTGGAGATGGGCTTTCGGGGTCAGCCCCATGATGGCCACTTTGTGGCCAGGCAGGCATTGAGTCCCCTGGGGCTGGGGCAGGAGTCCAGGGCCTTGTGGCCTCTGGCTGGAGGCAGTTCTCTGGCAGTGGGCAAGGTTCCTGAGGTCGATGTCCCTGCCTCTCATTCTGACCAGCCCTGGAGAAGGCCCCTGGGCTCCCCTCCAGCAGGACCTCTAAGGAGCACTGGGGGAGGCGTGGAGGTGCCTGTCCTGTGGCCAGTACTCTAGGAAGGGGCTGAGTGACTGTGTCTGTTCTCTCTCGCAGGCTGGCCCAGCTGGACGTGGACAGCCACCTCGCACAGTGCTTGGCAGAAAGCACGGATGATGTGGCATGGTGAACCACCGGTGTCCAGAGCAGAGCTGCGAAAGGGGGGTCCTGGCCTGGCTGTCCTCACTGACCTTCCTCTCTGCTCCTGAACATGCACATTAAAACTGGGGGGTGGGCTCTCCCACCTTGCGTGCTAAAGCTAGGACGCTGGCCTCCTCTGTTTCTGACGTGGGAGTCGGGCAGAGTCCTGACCACTGTGGAGAGTCCATGGCCCCGGCCCCAGGAGGGGAGGCTGTGCTTTCCCCAGAGCTGGACACCTCTGCCCACACCACCTGTGTGCACTCAGCTGGGCCTGCTCAGGGCAGCATGCCCTCCCCGCCGTGAAGCCTGACAGGCTGTGCCAGAGTGCCAGGCAGCTTGTCACTGCGTCCCCAAAGGACCTAAAAGAACAACCTGGGGCAGGGAAAGCTGCTACTCTGGCCGTGGTTCAGAGGCTTGGTCCATGTCCGCTCAGCCCCTTGCTCTGGCCTGAGGCGAGGCAGCGTGCCGTGGTGGAAGGGCATGGCGCAGGACCCCGCTCCAGAGAGGGCATCCCGGAGGGAGAGGGGGAGAGCTGCAGGGGAGACACACTGCCCGGGGCAGCCCCAGCTCCCACCAGGCAGCCCATTCTCACAGGGTGGACAGTCAGGCTGTAGCTCTGTCCAGCCACCTTACCCCTGGATGTTCCTGCATTAACCCAGGAGCTTTGGAGGCCCCTCGCATCCAGACCAGAGCACACAGCCACACTGTTGACCCCCTGGTGTGCTCGCCTCCACAGGCAGGTGTGGTGCACCAAGGTGGCCGTCACAGCCCGGGCTTCACGGGTTGAGGTCCTTGCCCTGGGTGTTATGTGTGAGCAGGGGGCCATGATGTCTCCAGGTCAGAGAGCTCCCCGGAGGGCAGGAGAGGTGATGGCCTCCTGGCTGAGGGTCAGAGGTCCCCCAGCAGGGACAGGCGTGCTCCTGGTTTTTGATACGTGGATCTACCACCGAGCCACGCCCAGCCCTTTCTTTACTGTGAGACAGGGTCTCGCTGAGTTGCCGAGGGGGCCTGGGGCTTGGGTCCTCAAGCCTCAGCCTCTGACTTGCTGGGGGACAGGTGTGGCCACTGCGCTGGCTTACCAGCGACATTCCTTCAGGGGATTGGGCCGCTTTCTCCCGGGGCCTGGCCCAGGGGTTCTGAGGAGCCAGGTTTTGGTGCTCAGCAAGGCACAGGGTCCGGTGGGACGAGCAGGACATGAAACCCAGGGTGACATCCAGAAATTAAATTTCCTTTAAAAAAATGGCTTTGAACAAGCTTTGAAGGCACCTGCAGGGAGCGGGCAGCTCAGGGCCAAGGGTAGGCCAGGCTGCATCCTGGGGCACTCGGGAGCCTGCCGAAGGGCCGCTGTGTTGGGGTTCTGCAGAGCAAGCCTGGGAGCCGGGGTGGACTCTCGGGAAGGTGGGGATTGGCTCTGTCCTCGGGCCAGGGCAGGCATTGGGTCCAGGCTCAGGGCCCAAGAGCGGGACACGGAGCCCGAGGCACTGTCCTGAGGGGGAGCCTCTGGCAGGAGCTGGGGTCCCAGGGCTGTGTCTGGCCAGGGGAGAGGGCAGCCCAGGCAGTAGAGGCACAGTGGCGTCCTCCGGTCCTTATCTGCTGGGCCCTCGGCGACTGGACTGGGTGGTGTGCAGGGCAGGAGACAGCCTTCTGGGCCTTCCTGCCAGGTGGACAGCCTCCAGGGCACAGCTTCCCGGAGTCCAGCCCTCCTCACGCAGGCACTGCCCTGCTGCCCTGTCCCAGTACCTGGTGGGGAGGGGCGGGGAGGGACACGGGCGGAGCCTGGGGTTCCAGGGCTGGCAGGTGCTGTGCCCTGTCCAAACCCAGGGAAGGCCTCAGCTTGGCCCAGCCAAGACGCCGTGTGGACTGGGGGAGGGTGCGGCCCACCGGCCCGATCACGAGGGTGAAGCCACGCGTGTGCGTGAGGGGACACAGGGCACCGGACCCTCTGCTCAACGGGGCTGTGAACCAGAACTGCTCTAGGAAACAGTCCGCCTGAGGAGACGGCCCACCCGCTTCCCAGAGGGGCCTCGCACACGAGCAACCACGAGACAGCGCTTCCTTCAGTCTTTAATAGATGCACAGGAGCACGACGCCGTGGCCGTGCGGGCAAGGACGGCGTCTGCGGCAGAGCTGGCACGCAGGCTCTGCCCAGGCGTGCGGGACGCTTCCCCATCACCAAGGCACCAGATGTCATGAACAATTTCCAAAAGCCGTGCTCCTGTCTGGACTGTTCGAAGGAGAGGCTTTCCCAAGCCAAGCTTCGATACGTCTCTCACTTTCTTTAATTTATAAAACAAATTCCTACCTATAAAGACGCCCGCTCCTGCGAGCCCAGTCTCACCGACACCCGTCTGCCAGCAGCTGCGCTGGCCCTGGCACGATGGGCAGCATGGCCGTGTCGGAGTGGACACCCTGAACCAGGCAAGCCAGGGGCGAGGGGCTCCCCGAGGTGGCTGCCCCCGGACAGGTGGACTGCATGGCCCTCAGACCAGGGCTCGGGGGCCGCCGTACCCCGGGGGGCTGGAGCTCTCCTGGGGCCCACAGGTGGCCTGGGCCTCTGTCCCTGGAGGGGGGTCTCACTGGCTGAGGCTGGGAGTGCAACAGGGCCACCCGGGAGCCCCAGCTGGGGTGGGGTCACCGGACGCACCAGGGCAGCCCTCCGCCTGCCTGTCCAGCACCCGGACCCAGTGTGAAACTGTGACCTGTTCAGTGCCAGCTGCTGCAGGGGCCTCAGGAACCCGAGTGTGTCAGGCAGGACGAGTCTACCCAGGTCTCTGCTGCGCCTTGCACTTGTGATGGTTTCTCACATGACCACCTTGGGAGGCCCCCGGGGTGAGACTGGCCTCCACACGGCCTTGTGGGGAGCCAGAGGGCTGTATGGCGATGTCCCCCAGGCACGCCAGGATAGCTCTTGGGGCCCAGAGCCCCCTGGCCACTGCAGCCAGGCCTCCCACACACTGCCCAGTGGCTGGGGGGCTTAAGAGGTGGCTGGCCCACCGAGGGGCTAAGGACTTGGCTCACCTCTTTCTAGAAACCTTGGAAGCAGCCCTGACCTGGCCATGCAGCACTGCTGACCGTAAGGCCAGGGCCCTCACATCGCTTTTTAAATCTCAGAGTATCAGGTGACTGATAATTTTCCAAAAACTCTGACACCGAACACAAGAATCCCGGAGGCACTGGCCAGCGTCTTCAGACACATTTTGTGCAGGTTTCGTTTTCAGATTTTATTTTTCCTTTTTTTGGTCTACTCGTGCTTTGGTGAGCGGCGTCTCAGCATCTCTGGGATCCCAACTTCCCCACCGGGTCCATGGAGCGGGCAGGTCAGCTCTGCCGCTCTGGCCAGGGCATCAGGACCAGCCCACTGCCGCGGCTGGTCATGCGCGTGGTGGGGGAATGCTTGTAAATGTCACGTCAGGAACTTACCGGGATCTAGAAAACGTTCCGAATCGGCAAAGGTTCCTTGTGCAGTGTACCCCTGCAGGCACTTGGACCCCGTCCCCCACCCACATCCCGACTGCTCCCAAGCTCGGCTCCTCCTCACATCTGGGCTGCATCTGCAGGTGCCACTCGGAAAAAAGGCATCAGAGGGACGCTGGCCACCACCGGGACACTTTATTCCTCAGGACACAACACTAACTCCTGGAGGAGCACGTCAGTGCCTCGAGTCCTGCTTCTGTGGAAAAGGTGCACCTTCGAGATGGCCAGTCTCCGCCGGGGTGGCGCCGCGGTGGCCCACCGCACAGGTCCAAGAAGCCATTCCCCAGCACGAAGCCGGCCTCTCCAGGCCCAGATGCAAGAGGCTGCTCTGCCCAGAGGCGCCCGCCTGAGGGGATGTCTCCCTCCACAGTCTCGGGCCAGCGTCCCTCCCTGGCTGCCCAGAGCCTCGTGCCCAGCCTGGCATGCATATGCTGTGGTGAAGGATGAGGTCACGGGGTCATTCACAGGTATGTCCACGGCAGAGATGGACGAGGCCTCACACGGACTCCTCGGTGGACAGCAGAAGCGGGTTGATGTACTCGAAGCCTTCGAACTCAGACTGGTCGATCCTCTTTATGACGTCCCTGGAGACACAGAGAAGGGGTGGGTGGGGGCCGGGTGCCTGCTCCCCTGGGTTCTGCGGAGACCCCCTCGCCAGACCCCTGGTAGAGAGGGAGGCCGGGAGGGAGCCGAACTGGAAGCAGCTGGTGTCCTGCACCTCGACTCTGCACCCAGGAGGGCGTCCTGACCCCTGGGCTGCCCCAGCACTTACTCATCATCTGGGGTCAGCTGCACGGGCTCGCTGGTGAACTGCGTGTCAAAATTGTCCAGGCCGTAGTCATCGGTGATCTGCGGCTGGAAGGGAGGCAGGGCCTGCTTCTTCTCTAGCTGGGGAGAACCAGGGGAGGGGCCTCCCGTCAGTGCTGGCTCCACCCCCAGGTCAGCCCTCGCACTCAAACCACAGAGTGCCTGGCAGTTGGATGCTGAACACCCAACACCTATAGCTGGATGCAGTGTCACACGCCTGTGATCCCAGCAGCTTTGGAGGCTGAGGCAAGAGGATGTCAAGTCAAAGCCAGCCTCAGCAAAAGTGAGGCGCTCAGCAACTCAATGAGACCCTGACTCTAACAAAATGCAAAACAGGGATGGAATCTGGCTCAGTGGTCAAGCACCCGAGTTTCATCCCTGGTACTCAAAAACAAAAAACACACACAGAAAACATTCTCACCCATTCACCAACTCACCTAGGAGAAAATATCCCACAGCAGAAAAATCCAACCTGAGCTCAAAAACACTGGAGGCCTGGGCGAGGCAGGCCAGTCCCCGTGGTGAGGCGCCCCACCCCAGGCAGAGACCTCCACGCTGGCCGGCCTAGCCCGAGAGCCACTGCCACCGAACTGGGGGACCGAGGCTGAAGTTCTCTTCCGTCACGTCTTAGAAGCACAGGTGCTGGAAACCCGGCTGGGCCCCGCCTGGGCTCTGGTCCACAGTGACTCTGCTGGGAGGGCCCTGGTCCCCAGGCGCAGCACTTACCCCTGCCACAGTCAGTCGGGCTCTGCTAGCTGAGGTGGGAGGGGCCCAGCCCTGCAGGACTCGGTCCCACAGTGTGGCCAGGTGGGCAGGGGCCGACCCTGGGTGACCAGTGCTGCCATCCAGAGGGCGTGGGATGGCTCGCCCCGCATGTGGGGGAGGAGGCAGAGAAGCGCATACCCCAGGCCTGGAGCCCCGACCCCCACTGCTCTGCACACACTGCCAGCCAGGCTTCTGCCACAGCCACAGGGACATGCCCTCCCGGGCTCCTCTTCCTCAGACTGGGTCTTCCCTCCCTCCCTCTCCCCCCATGGACTCACCCATTCACCCACTAATTCCCTCACCTGTCCATTCCCTCACTCACCCATTCACTAATCCACTCACCTGT